GCCTCCTTTTCTATACCTTGCATTACGAATACTTAGCAATTTATTCGGGGATCTGGCTTCTCTAACCTCCTGGGGGCGGTTAGGCTTGCGTGGCCGAGCCTATCCATGCCCCTCCTAGTTGGATAGAAGTGATATGTTCGCTATTGATATGGAATCGACAAGTAAGCGACTTGTTTGGCCAGCGAGGTCGGACATTGAACCGACGAGGAAGACCCTTAGGTTGGTATCCTGAACGTTCATGACCCGGGGGGTCAGTCCTACTGTCACTTTAACCCATCCAGTTTGCCCGGACTTGGGGAATAATCTGGTTACTCCCGCATGGATAGCCAAACAACAGGGGCGGACCCTGCATGATCCACCAGAACGAACCCGCACCGCCAACTCAGGGATGACGAGAGTGCGAGCTGCTTGGCCAGCGATGTTAGGCGCGAGCACTCGAAAGGAACCTGAGGTCAGCATCCTGAGTACCCTCGACCCGGAGGTCGGCCCTACCGTCGCCTCGACTGTCACGGCTAGCTCTTTACTTTAGAAAATTGCCCAGATTCCTGAAAATCGCTTGGCTATTTTCAGTTAAAGAGCATGGCCGAGGTCGGCCAAACACCGAGGGGGGCATAATACTTTTTTTTGCCGCCGCCCTTTATTGCTAAGTGAGGTCGGACCTCTTTCGAAGACAAAATATCGCTAGCAAAGTATATTGAATTCATGATGTGGGCGGACCACATGAAGAATTACAATTTGTAATCTCGTGCTCGGAGCACAGGAGTTTACAAAGAAAAGTGAAACTTCGATTTTCTACTGGTAAAACTTCATCAGGTGCTCGGCATTCCAGACGCGGTCTACCAACCGGCCTGTTGTTGTCTTCAACTTGTATGTCCCAGGGCCGATCACTGCGTCAACCACGTAAGGGCCTTCCCACTTGACGGAGATCTTACCTCCCTCTGTCGGCCTGCTGGCCTTCCTACGTCTTAGGACATAATCACCGACGTCAAAACTCCGGGGTCGGGCTCGGCTGTCTTGGTACGCCTTGACTTGTCGTCGATAGTTTTCCGCTTTGATGAAGGCACGATCTCGTCTTTCCTCAATGAGGTGGAGCTCGGCTCGGAGCCTCTCCTCATTGCTGGCTGGTTCAAACTCTTCCACTGGCCAGCTGGGACCTACGGCCTCGAACGGTGCCCTCGCCTCAAAGCCATAACACAAGGCAAATGGGGTTTCTCTTGTTGCCTTCCTTGGGGTTGTTCTGAAGGTCCATAGTATATTGTTCAACTCCTCCACCCAAGCAGTCCCGAGGGCCTCCAACTTCTTTTGCAATCCATCGACGATCGTCCGGTTGGTGTTCTCCACCTGTCCATTTGCCTGGGGGTAGCAGACCGTAACTCGGCTGGATTCTACGCCCACTCTGCACAGAATTGCCGGAAGGCTTCGCAGTCAAACTGCCTTCCGTTGTCGGAGATTATTTGGAGGGGAACCCCAAACCGACAGAAAATATTCTTCCATATTAACTTCTTACATTGGAGATGTGTGATGCTGGCAAGCGGCTCGGCCTCAACCCACTTCGTAAAGTAGTCCACCACGACGATGACAAACTTCCGGTTTCCCGACCCGGTTGGTAAGGGACCGAGCAGGTCGACACCCCATCTTGTGAATGGAAGGACGGTGCTGATCGGTGTGTACATCGTTGCTGGTCGGCCGGGGCTCTTCTGGAACTTCTGGCATGTCTCGCATTTCCTTGCATAGTCAGCGCAATCCTTCATTATTGTTGGCCAAAAGTACCCCTGAAGGACGACCTTCCTAGCTAACGTGCCTGCCCCCTGGTGGGCGGAGCACACGCCCCCATGGAGTTCAGAGACGATCATGTCCGCCTCATGTGGGCGTAAACACTTTAGCAAGGTCACATTGTAAGACCTCTTGTACAGCTTCCCATCCAAGATGGTGTAGCCCGGAGCTCGTCGCCGGACCAACCTTGTCTCCTCTTCTTTATCGGGGAGCGTCCCGTCGGCTATGTAGCGCAAGAGGTCATCCACCCAACACCAGGCGACTGGTTGCAGGGGAAGGACGTCAATGGACGGTGAGGCTGATATGCTTGAGGTCGTCATCTCCTCAATGCGTGCAATTCTCGATATGTGTTCAGGCAACCCTTGGGATAGATTTGAGAGGAGGTCTGCATCGGAGTTTTGATTTCTCGGGATGCAGATCAACTCTGCTTGCTTGAACAACCCGAGCAACTCCCGAACAGCATCTCGGTACTTCATCATTCTTTCTTCCTTCGCTTCGAACTCACCTTTGACCTAGGAAACCACCAGACGGGAGTCACATTTCACCGTTATCCACTCTGCTCCCATGGCGGCTGCCAGTCGTAGCCCAGACAGTAGGGCCTCGTACTCCACCTCATTGTTGGAGACTTTGAAAAGATAGCGGTAGGCATAGTAGGCTCGGAATCCCTTGGGTGAGATGAGGACGATTTCGCCCCCGCATCCCTTGGCTCTTGCCGACCCATCAGTCGCTAGAGTCCACCACTGTTTATTGCTCTCTTGTTGCCTATCTGCCACCTATCGGGCCGTGCATTCCACAATGAAATCAGCCAGAGCCTGGCCTTTGATGGACGTCTGAGGCTGGAAGTCAACCTCATATTAGTTGAGGAGCATCGACCACTTCACTACCCGGGTTGTGTCGGGCGCCCTCAGAGCGGCACCTAGGGGTTGGTCTGACAGGATTCTGATCGGGCGCGCTTGGAAGTAGTGTGTCAACTTCTTGGCGGTGATGTAGGCGACATATATTGTCTTCTCGAGCGGGGTGTACCGGAGCTCAACATTCTGGAGGGTCTTGCTCACATAGTAGACGGGATGCTGAACGCCTTCCTCCTCGCGAACCAGCACAGAACTGATTGCGCCTTGGGAAACCCCACGATAAAGGATTAACGTCTCCCCCCTCTCCGGCTTGCTGAGTAAAGGCTCAGAGAGGAGATACTTCTTCAGGTCGTCGAAGGCTCGCTGACACTCATCATTCCAGACGAAACCATTTTGTTTCTATAGGACCTGGAAGAAGGGTAGGGACTTCTCGGCGGACTTGGACATGGAGCGTCCAAGGGCTGCTAGCCGGCCGGTGAGAATATGGACTTCTTTCACCGACCTCGGGGGTTCCATGTCAAGTATTGCCCTTACCTTCTCAGGATTTGGCTCAATTCCCCTCCGTGTGACCATGTACCCCAGGAACTTGCCTCCTTGGACGGCAAAGGTACATTTCTTCGGGTTCAGGCGCAGACGGACTACCTTCATGATCCTGAAGATCTCTGCCAAATCATCTGCATGATCGGACGCCCGGGAGTTCTTGACGATCATGTCGTCAACATACGCCTCCATGTTCCTTCCGAGCACCTTTCGGAATACCTTGGCCACCATCCTCATGTACGTCGCCCTAGAGTTCTTCAGCCCGAAGGCCATGACAAGATAACAAAAAATCCACTCTGGGGTGACGAACGAGGTCTTCTCCGCATCGTCTTCTTGCATGAAAATCTGATGGTATCCTCGAAAAGCGTCCATGAAGCTAAGGAGCTCACATCCGGCCGTCCCATCGACTAGTTGGTCGATGTTAGGCAATGGGAATGGATCCATCGGACATGCCTTGTTGAGATCGGTGTAATCAACACACATCATCCAGGTTGGCGGCTTCGGGGCCAGGACCACGTTTGCCAGCCAGACCGGGTACAAGACCTCCCGGATATGCTTGATACTCAGGAGCATGTTGACCTCCTTCTTCACGAATTCCCTCCTCCCGGTTGAGAGGTGTCTTCTTTTCTGCTGGACGGGCTTCGCCGTTGGATTGACCGCCAGCCGATGGACAACGATGCTTCGGTCAAGGCTAGGCATGTCCTCCGGTCCCCACGCGAAGACAACGCTAAAAAGGACAAGTACCTGGATAATCTTCTCCCTCAAGCCGGCCGGGAGCCCGGTCCCGATCTTGACCTTCGGCCCCGGCCTCTCGGGGTCAATCTGGATCTCCTCCACTTCTTGGCTGACCCTCCTCATACTTCATGGCTTTGCTGTTGATAGTGTGGATCCTCAAGTCTTTTTGACCGATTTGTTTGCAAGCTTTCAGATAGCAGCTCCTCGCCATTCGCTGATCTCCCCTGGTAACTCCGACGCCATTCGGAGTGGGAAACTTCATGCATAGGTGCTCTTGGGATATCACACATCTGAGGTCTTCCATGGCCGGTCTTCCCATGATGATCTTATGCGCACAAGTTAGGCGTACGATGATAAACTCGACGTCTAACTTGGATACACAGGGCTCGGAACCCACCATCACGGGGAGGACTATGCTGCCCTCCGACTCAATACGTAGTACTGTTCAATACTTTATTTTTTCTTACATGTTAAAGTGAGAAATTGACAAGAACATAAATACAATCAAATCTATCAAAACATTTTCTTCAATAGATGACATAACTTACTCACTTAGTCTATCATATGACCTGATTGATCATACATAATTTTTAATCGTTCTAAAAAATAACTATATGGGTATAATTCAGACTAAGCATAAAAGATTGCTTTCATAAGTACTTCAATAAATATATACATTCACATGCCAAAGTATCTATACCAATGAAGCAAAAATGGAAAACCCAAATAAATTAATAATAACCACACCCAATAACCCTTTAGTCTAAATTTAACAAAATTCTAACTTTTAATTTTTATTTATGACATTTGCGATTGATTTCATTTGAGAAATCAAATATAACTAGGATTTAAATCAAACATAAATATATAATAATAATTATTTTAATTTGGAGGCCCCAAAAAGTTGAGGGCCCCAGACAATTGTCTAGGCTAGATGCCCCATCACCGATCCTGGGTACCAGTTCTCATTTTATGAGAAACAGTTTTGGCATGATTTGGAATCGGTCCGGTCCGATTCGGGACAAAATTTTTGAGAACCGTTTGAAATCCCGTTTTCCGGTGGGGTACCGTACCGGTCCCATTCGGTACCATGCGGGTTCTGTGATGTCATACAAACTATACAAGTACGAGGAAGTTGCGTCGAATTCCTCATAAACTACAACTACCAGGGGGGAAATCAGAAATGGCGTTATTGCTTTCTGCCTCAACTTTGCCTTCTACGCCAGCATCTTCAAATCTCAATTACCTGTCATCCTCAATTGCTAAAACCGCAAACTTGCCATCGAGTCCGCTTTTTACGGGTAAAAGCTAAACCAGTTCTTCAAATTTCACATTTTTTCTAATATTCAGCTACAATTCAATTTCTAAAAAAAATGACTTGTTTCGTTCTTGCTTGGTGTTACCGTCTGCAATAGGATTGGATAAGAATAAACCGAGAAGCCAAAAGGCCCAATCATTTGTTTCTTTATCTGTGAGTACTCTTCAATCAGTTTCCAAAACTGGACCAGGCAGTATTAAACCAAGAAAAGGCGGCGATGAATATGGGAAATTGGTCAAATTGAGTGAGGGAAGGGACGAGGATGAGAAATATGGCTCTGTTTGCCCCGGTTGTGGAGTCTTTATGCAGGACAAAGACCCCAATCTTCCTGGATATTACAAGAAACCCACTGTCAATTCCGCAATAGATATAGAGGAAAACAATGAGGCCCTTTCGGATTATGGTGATGATGGAGATGTGTATGAAGTGTTTGATGATATTGATACTATTGAGGGGAAAATGGAAGAAACGGATTCTGGAAATGTGGATAGAATTGATTGGGATGCGGAAGAATGGAATTCGGGCTTTGTAACCGAAGATGATAATGAATTGGACGGATTTGCTCCAGCTGGTGTAGGTTATGGTAATGTCACCGAGGAGTTTCTTGAGAGAAGGAAGAAGAAAAGGGTTTCGAAAGCAGAAAAGAAAAGGATAGCAAGAGAGGCATCCAGGAGTGGAAAGGAGAAGGAGGCGAAAGTGTGTGCTCGATGCCATTCACTGAGGTATTATGGACATGTTAAAAATCAAGCTGCAGAGAATTTAATACCTGACTTTGACTTTGACCGGTTAATAACCACCAGACTAACAAAATCCACCGGGAACGGCGATGCCACAGTTGTGGTCATGGTGGTGGACTGCGTAGACTTTGATGGGTCATTCCCAAAGAGGGCTGCCCATGTTTTATTCAAAGTGCTCGAAGGCAATGAAAAAGAAGGGGCGAAACAATCTAAAAGACTGCCAAAGCTTGTTCTGGTGGCAACTAAGGTTGACCTTCTCCCCTCCCAAGTTTCTCCAGCAAGGCTTGATAAATGGGTAAGACAGCGTGCTAGGGCTAACGGTGCACCTAAGTTGAGTGGTGTTTATTTAGTTAGTGCCCGTAAAGATTTAGGCGTGAGAAACTTGCTGGGATTCGTTAAGGAGCTCGCTGGTCCACGTGGTAATGTGTGGGTTATTGGGGCTCAAAATGCCGGAAAGTCAACGTTGATTAATGCCTTTGCAAAGAAGGGAGGAGTGAAAGTTACAAAGCTCACTGAAGCTCCAGTGCCTGGCACTACACTAGGGATACTGAGAGTAAGAGGGGTGTTGTCTGGAAAGGCAAAGATGTATGACACTCCTGGCCTTCTACATCCCTATCTATTGCCCATGAGGCTTAATAGGGACGAGCAGAAAATGGTTGAGATACGCAAGGAGCTTCAACCTCGCAGCTACAGAATAAAGGCAAGTTTTTTTTATATATGCCTATTCAAACTTTTCTTAAACAAAAAATTACACTGAATCGACAACAGGCTGATTCGTTTTCACTTGCAAACCAATGCGATTTTTGTGTGTATTTTTAATTCCGAAAATTGAATTGAAGAAACTAAACTTGCAAAGAAGACGAAAACGATGCAAGTTAAAGTTAATAATGTTCAATACATATAGGGTCCATATTTTGGAACTTAGAAAATGCCAGGGAAAGGAAATGAAAAGGAAAGTATTGGGGAAAACATGGTTCAATTTTACTATATGTATTTTCTATAGTTGATCGAACTCATTTTATTTATTCATTTCTACATATAGAGTCTATGAAAGTTAAACATGTGAAAAAAATTAAAGAAACATGAATCATTTTCCTTTCTGTTTTTTCAAGTTAATATTTACTAAACACATGAAAATAATTTTCCATAGCATTTCCCCATTTTTCTATCATACCCCAAATTCAAACTTGTGCATAGGGTTTAAAGATAAATGGAACGACAGTTAACACTAATACAAGATTACAATCCAAATAGGCTGATTCTCAATCATCACCATCGTAATAAAATGATTCAGAATTTCAGATCCAACTATCATCTTCAGTGTCATTCAAATTTTAAATTGCACATCATAGTTCTAAATTTGTGATAAAAGGAATCACGACTAAGTGACTAAGGATGTTTTTACTTGGACTGTAATTTGCTGGTCTGGTCTGGTTTCTTTGTATTTTTATAACTATCTAAGTCTGGTCTGATCTGGTCTAGTCTGGTCTGGTCTGGGAGGAATTACAGTCCAAGTAAAAACATCCTAACACGTGAATATGGCATGGAATGGATGAAGCACATTTTTGTGCACTTGACACCCTATCACCCTATTTGTTGAGGCACCTGGGTTAACCTCACATGGTCAATTAAGTTTAATATATATATATATATATATATATATATATATATATATATATAGAAAGAGAGAGCGGATCAGGTGAAAAGTGTTCTTAGACTGAAAACTGCGAAGTTAAACTTATAGACTAAATATTGGAACTTTTAACCAATAAATCATAACTTATAGACCCCTCGAAAATAATTACGAAAATGTCACCGCAAAAAAATAAGTCTTGAAACCTTGAAATTTTTTTGACGCGGTGGCATTTTCGTAATTATTATGGAGAGAGAGAGGGGATCAGGTGAGAAGTGCTCTTAGGCTGAAAACTGCGAAGTTAAACTTATAGACTAAATATTGGAACTTTTAACCAATAAATCATAACTTATAGACCCCTCGAAAATAATTACGAAAATGTCACCGCAAAAAAATAAGTCTGGAACATAGATACAGAAATCGCTGAGATACTCGCGTTTTGCATTCTGGATCGCACGTACTGGATCGCGGTACATTTGCGCGCCGGTCTTTTTTGGGTCGCGACTTCGGTACGGAGGTTTGAGGTCGCAGTTCGCAGGTGGCTGACACAACTATGCAGTATCATCGTCGCAGGTCGCTGAGGCTGGTTTCTCCGTCGCAGGTCTCTCCATCGCAGGTCTCCGTTACAGTTCACAACGCAGGTCATATCTTCCATTTTGTACTGTCGCTCTTTTACGGTATCTTAGATGTGGACTTTGTGTTCTCTTTTGCTCTGAGGCCCTCATTCTTTCTCTTTGGCAAACAGTTTTTTTTGCTTTTTGTTTTTCCCCAGGTCAATTGACTCCAGCTACTACAACTTTTCCATCTTTTTTGAACTAAACAGTATTTTGTGTGTGTGTGATGATTTTGAACTACGCGGTGTATTCTCTTTTAACAACTGAATTTTTTATTACTTCATTAATATTGAATACCTATATCAAATAAAAATTAAATTTTATCAGATTTAGTTTATTCATTTTATGAATTGGGAACAATTGAAATTTGGAATGTTACATTAATTGTTCAATACTCCATATTATTAATATTATTATATTTCTACATTATAAGTTGTATATGTTTTACGGTACACCGTACCGTAATCAATGGTACAACGTACTGCGTACCAAAATAGCGTACCGAAGAAGCCTACTCCCTCACCTACCGGATACGCTAGACTTAGCGAACCCCGTTCCCGATCCTCGTTCCCGTACCGAAGCGTTCCGCGAACTATGTGACTATGGTCCGGAAACCTTGAAATTTTTTTGACGCGGTGACATTTTCGTAATTATTATGGAGAGTTTTATAAGTTATGATTTATTGGTTATAAGTTCTATATTCGGTTTATAAGTTTACTGCGTTGTAGGATTAGATGCAAATCCAAGGGCTGAGATTAGTTCTCACTTTTCATTTTAAGGGGCACTTCTCACCTGATCTTCTCTCTCTCTCTCTCTCTCTCTCTCTATATATATATATATATATATATATATATATATATATATATATATATATATATAGACGAAAGTTCATGTCCGGCCAGGCCGGACAGGAACTCCGTCCGGCCACCTCAATTTGAGGTGGTTCCCGGTGGTATTTTTGGCTGAAATTTTTTGTGTATGTTCCTCATCAAGTCTAGTTCATCCATACCAAATTTGAGCAAAAAATTCAATCGCGAAGGTCGTCAAATGATTTTTGCATGACAACTGCATTTTATATGTATATTCCGGACCAGTTATCGTGCCATAAAAATTTCATCAAAAACTTCCACCGGGAAGGCGGCCAAAAGCCGTCAGCTGGACGGCGCCTCTGGTCCGGAATCTTCATCAAGTCTAGTTAACTTCAATTCGGAATCCACACAAAAATTCAACTAAAAACTCAATTCGGAAGGTCCTCAAATGATTTTTTGAAGTTAAATGCGTTTTATATGTATTTTTTAGCGTAGTTAACTTCAAAAATCATTTGAGGACCTTCCGGAGGGAGTTTTTAGCTGATTTTTTTTTGTGGATAAACTAGACTTATGAAGAACATGCCATAAAAATGTCATCATAAAATTTCACCGGGAAGGCGGCCAAAAGCCGTCGGCCGGACGGCGCCTCTAGTCCGGAATTCCGGATCAGAACATTACTCATATATATATATACACACACACACATACATACACACACACACAAATGATCAGGTCCGAACGTTCGTACCTGATCCTCCGTCCGAACACCTCCGTTCGGGGCGGTTACCGGTCGAATTTTTTTATGAAATTTTTATGGTATGTTCTTCATAAAGTCTAGTTTATCCACAAAAAATTTCAGCTCAAAATTCGATCGGGAAGACCTTCAAATGGTTTTTTGAAGTTGACTGCGTTTTTCTATGTATAATTTGGCGCAGTCAACTTCAAAAAATCATTTGAAGGCCTTCCTTGTCGAATTTTGAGCTGAAATTTGGTATGGAGAAACTAGACTTGATGAAGAACATACCACAAAAATTTCATCAAAAATTTCCACCGGGAACCGCCCCGACCTGCGTTGTTCAGACGGTGCTCGGACGGGGAATGTTTGGACCTGAACATTCCTCTCTCTATATATATATACTTCCTCCATCTCTTTTTAGTTGCAACAGTCAAACTTTCACGTTTGCCAACGCACAACTTTGACCGTCATTATATTTCATTCTGTATTAGTAAAAATAAAATAAAAATCAGATTATAATACTTAGTAATGAGATGAATTTAACAATATTTTTCAAAAACAATAATTCACATACATTAATAAATAAAATGTAGTCAAAGTAAAGTACAAGAATAGTGTATATATTCCAATGTTGCAATTAATGTGACATGGAGGATAGTGTATATATATATATATATATATATATATAGAAAAGTATAACATGTCAATTGGCAGGTAGCCAAACAATCATAATTTACTTTTTTTGCTATTATTCGTTTCAGAGAAAAGCCTCAGTTAATACGGAAGTTGAAATCTTGAAATAGTTTATTGACTGTTCTAATTATGAAGTTAATCTACATTTTGTAGCCAGGGCATACTATACATGTTGGCGGGCTAGTAAGATTAGATCTCAACCGGGCTTCCGTGGATACCATTTACGTCACTGTTTGGGGTTCCCCAAGTGTCTCTCTTCATCTTGGTAAAACAGAAAATGCGGATGACATTTGGAGCAAGCACTGTGGGGTTAGGTTGCAGGTAATGTCATTTACATTCCGTCCTGTTATATTAGTTCTGTCTTTTTGAACGTATGCCTATGGATTTAGGATGTTTTTACTTAGACTGTAATTCCTCCCAGATCAGATCATTTCAAACCAGACTAGACTTGGATAGTTATAAAAATACAAAGAAACCAGACCAGTTCAGACCAGACCAGCAAATTATAGTCCAAGTAAAAACATCCTTATTATGAACCAGTTTCACCTAAATTTGTAGGATTGTACGCGAAGCATACTAACTTATTTAGCCTGGTAGTCCTCTAGGACCTCTAAAGATATGGCTCACTAAATAATTTACAGTTTAAGTTTCCTGTACTTGGTTCATTATATGAGGATGGCTTATTTCGAGAACACTTATACCAATAAGTCATAATCATCAGTCATCATGTAGGCGGTTGATGTCATAAAATTTGTTGTGTCAATTGAAAGCCTAAATTTAGTTCAACCTTCTAAATTCATACGAAAATAGCATAGTGTCAATTAGGTCAATCTAACGGATGTTTGGGTGCAGCCTACAGGTATAATGTCTACAACTTTTGAATGACTAACACAATTGTCTTGTTAATTAATATGCATAATTCATTTGTTAATTTTGAATGTATATAAACAGTGGACTACTAGAGGCTTGGTTTATTCATCTGATGTCAATTATCTAATTAACAGGCGATCTTTGTTTAGCATTTCTCTTGTATTTTAGTTTCACATAAACACCTTAGTTGAGCATGGACTGGTTTTGTTTCTCTTAAATACTCTACAGATAATAATCGCTAAAAAAACATGTTTGAGACTGTGGCACCAGTAATACATTTTTGTAAAAAAATGCTTTAAACATAAATAATAGGGAAAATAGCTTTATATAAAACCAACTATCACTGGTTAACCAAGAATAATACATACTATAAGAATTACGGAGCACTATTTTATACTAAATCTATTCAAATATATGGCCAAAGTAATATGGAGCCATTTTCCAACCTCAAATCGGTCATTTAGATCATCAAAGATTTGTGTCAAACCATCAAATAAAACTTATTTGATGGTTTAATTTCACTTTTTGATAGGTTAAATAACCTGATTTGATGTCAAATGTGGCTCTTTTATATATTATTTCAAGTATTTTTCTCTAAATAAAAGTACGGAGTATTACTTTTGCTTCAGGCAGTATTAAGTATTTCTTGTAAAAATAAAATCTACTGTCAAAATTAGTCCGTATTATTATTATTATTATTATTATGATTATAAAATTCATCTTAAAGTCATCGTTTCCTTGATAGTCTCACACAGCTCTCTACTCACACAAAAAAATCTTATAAGGGATATTTCTGTGAACACATATTTTCCGTATAAAATTCATATGAGGAATTGTTTTAATTGATACAATCTCACACAGTACTAATTAAATACTCACTAGGCAAAAATGTAACTTTTTATCCTACGAGCTGCTAATGTATTACGTACAGTCTTCGTAAGTGTGTTAGTGGTAATTTTTCCTTGTGTCATGGCCAGTTGGCTGTTGGTAGTTGCTAACTATGTCCCTAAATCTTTGTCCAATGGGTAGTTTAAGTAGTACTTCTCTGTCCCACGCTCCAGTGGTCCACTAAGTCTAGGACATGAAGCTTGACACAAATATATAAAAAGACAGGAGTTGCGTGGTTGATATTAAATTTGTAAAAGTAAAGTGATCACTAACCACAAAAGATGAACAAGTTTGGTATGAAACGATCATTTTGGGACAATCAAAATGAGACGAAAGAAGTAATATATAAATAAGGGAAAATCACACTTTTAGTCCCTCAAATATTACGCATATATTGTAATGCACGACCTAAGTTTTCAAGTTCGTAAATGTCACCCCTCAATTCTTTAATTTGTGATAAATGTAGTCCTTTGAGGGGTGGCATTTACAATGTGGGCAAGGACCACATTTACATGCATCTGTACAAGTGAGGGGTGACATTTACACACTTGAGAACACAGGAACTACATTTCAATATCAGCCTTGTTTGAGGGACTGAAAATGCGATTTCTCCTATAAATAAATTTTCCTTCTTATTACCCTTCATACTTTTTCTGTTATACATAAGATTACCTATATTGCATTTCATCTGCAAAATTTTAATTTTCTAAATTCATTATTTTTATCTGATAAAAGCTAATGAAAACAAATTCCATAAGGACACTTGTAATGTATTCTAGTTCAAATCTTATTCAGCCTCCCATCAGCGTGGACCGAGTTCCTGAATTAGGCCAGTGGAAAGAAAAACAAATCAAAGTGTCAGGTACAAGCTGGGATGTGAACAGTGTGGATGTAGCTGTGGCTGGTTCAGGGTGGCTCTCCTTCGGTTTAAAAGGTGAAGCAGATTTAACATTGTGGACTTATGATGGCATTGAGGTCACGTTGCGTGAGGCTTTGGTACTTGACCGTGCCCCGTTTCTTGAGAGACCTGGATTTTGGCTACCCAAGGCAGTCTCTGATTCTATTGGAAACCAAAGCAAGTTTGAAACTCAAGCTAGGAAAACCAAACTTGATAAAGGTGACATCCTGCTATCAGAAGCAGAAGTATCTTATTAAGGACAAACCTTAAATTACTTCGAGGTTGAAGGACTCAAGGACAAGGACGTAGGAACTACAATGAAGTGATTTATATCTGACTTATTATATCAGTGTAGCATCTTCGTAAAAATCAAAGTAGGGCTGGACCAGGTTTTGGACCTGTTGAAACTGTATCAAACCGAAACCTGTCCAACTTAGGTATGGTTGCTCCCACATATAAGACCAGCCAGTTCTGGTGTAGTTTCAGTTTTTTCTCTCTGAAAATGATAAAGAAATAGAAACAGAGTCGACCCAATAACCGGAACCGGAGTCGACCCAAGAACCGGAACAGATGGAGTACTTCATTTGCATTTGGAACTCGATAATTTTTTGTTGTAAATCTTTTATATCAAATTTTGTCCAAGCTAATGCAACTTGTGCAAAATATTTTGGCCAACACCATTACAATAGAGGGCTTCATTAATAAAAGTTGGTTGTAGGAGTAAATCCATTGCACCCAAATCATATAACGTGACATGTTTTGGTGTACGTTTTGGATTAGTAGTAGTTAGGACTTAGGGGTGGATTGGTCCTGCTTTGAGAAGAGAGACTGAGACTGGGACTATAATACTAAAGACAAATTATTATGTAGTATTATGTACTCCCTCCGTTCCCATTTTATCTTCCGTTTCCCATGGACACACAATTTAAGAAAAGTAAGTATTGTGTGGTGGAGAGTTGTGCAGAAGAGAGAGAAATGTGTAAGAAATGTTGTGAACCATAAATTCTTTACCAAAAGGGGAAAGTGGAAGTTTAATTGGAACATGTGAAAAAGGAAAGTTGGAAGATATAATAGGAACGGAGGGAGTATTAAATAGAGATATATTATTACAAACATATTGTTATTTCAAACCTATTATTACAAATGTAGAGACATTGTTTTAAATAGAGATATTACAAATGTATTACAAAGAGCATGTTATGTTACTTATGTGCGCAATATAAATTGGATATAAGTTTGTAAAAATAAAATGCCTTTTACTACTACTACTATGCATTTTAGTAAGTTGCCTACAAATCAAATCAAACCAAACATAGTCTTTTTGTTACATAATTCTTAACATTAATAATTGTAGAGTAAAAACATTTATTCGCTTGAACTTTCACTCCCCTAATTAGTGATGATTTTTTCATGATTTTGCTTGTTGGTGTGATATTCTATTCTTGTGTATGATGTCTTATTTTTAACCAACCATGAAACAAATAAGTGTTTCAAGTGATGATGTGTTCAGTTGAGTACTTTAAACGTAACAGTGTTGTACGACGTTACTAAATATTTTCCACCTCAACTATTGATACCGTCATAGATATGATTTGTTTCGCCATTGTTGATAATACGAGAATTTTCATTCTCTCTTCATCGTTTTAACATACCAAATTCGTCACTTTCTTCATACTCACAAGTAAACACTAGACAACTCATTAATTGAGCTTTAATTTGTGCAACATATGGAGTGGACTTAATTTTGTCAAATTATTTTCTATTGTACTTTTAAGTAGTCATTTTATCTTAGATGAAGAAGATGTCTCTTGGGGAGAACATTATCATGTAGTGCATGAAACCTATTAAATAAATTATGAAATAAATTACTAAATTCAAAAAGTTAGGCTTGAACATCTATGAGGTGATCATACATAGGCAAGCCACAATAAAAGTGACAATAATAATACTATTAAAAAATTCATAGCTCGCAAGTTTAAAATGAGTATCCAAAGTAAAAAATCTATGTCATAAATATAAGTAATAAATGTGTAACATTTTAAGAACTTTGTTTTCATATGATCACAAAAGTAAATAGTATATTTCGCAATTTCAAATTCCTTAAATGTAGTAGCACGATTCACAACTTCAACAAAATATGTTTTGCTAGTAGGTTGGTAAGCACGAGAAAAGATGTAGTGGTATTGATAAAATATACTAACACTATTAGTAGTATTGATAAATACAATTTATTATTCATCATCTGACTTAGAATGAAATATATATATATATAAATAAGTGACATTTCAGGACTTTTTTGGGGAAAAATATGCGTCAAAGAATACTCTCCATTTATCCGTTTTTATATTTTTTCATCTCATATTATAACATACCCATTCCATCTCTAAATTATGTTCTCACGAATAATACATATATCATTAATTATTCATTTTCTCTTTAACGTACTTTTAATAGAGATTAAATTATATTGGCTGAAAATTGTGAAATCAAATTAAGAATGTGGCTGAGGTACAATAATTACATACCTTTTAAGTAAACAATTACAAACATTTCTCTCATTCCAAAAATATTCTACTCACAATGATTATGGGTTTGCAATTTTAGACTAAAGAGAAGTGGCGAAGGTAACCTAACAGTCGTCTAGGGTTTTTGTTGTCCGGCGGGCAGATTTTGCCATTGCCTAGTGAGTGAGATTGACTTGTTCTAGTGTAGAGACAAAATCTAGCAAGTCTAGGGGAAGTTTTGAAGTGTGCGTAAGATATGTTCGCTAGCAAAAACGGAGTTTTGATTGACTTGATTTGTGTGAAGAAGTCGATTTTATTTCTCATGGAAACCAAAGCACAAAAGCAGAGGAGCGACCATGTACGAAGATGGTTGGGATTCCAATATAGCTTCACGGTGGAGAGTTTGGGACTCAGTGGATGGCTTTGCTTGATGTGGCATGGAGAATTCCAGATCTAGAGATGGAGGAATTGAGAAGATGAATAGTTGATGGTTCATCCCCTCCTGAACCACCGTCATGGACGCTTCAATGCGGAGTTGGGGATACGAAAGCATGTTGCTGTAGAGGGGCTATGTGGAGCTGTAATTAGTTATTCTATTTGCTCTCGTCTTACCTTCGTTCTATGTCTTATTACGTTGTATGTGTTGTTCTTTTAATTTGTTGAAACCATTGGTATTGGTTTTGCAGGCAATGTAGCTAGTCATTATGTCATTAGAAGTAAGAAGATCTATTTGGCTAGTAATATAATTGATGTGTCGAACCCTGGCCTGTTGCTGGTTAGCGATCATTTCAAGGTTGGGGATAATTGGTATTATCGTTGGTCTCTCTGATTTTGACGTAAGGATTTCATCCTCATGATACTAGTATAGGTGATTTCCAATAAAAAACATTATCTAACATTACTGAAAAATGTGCAATCAAAAGTAGCTATATTTCTACAAAAATGGAAACATATATACTTCTCATACTAAAAACCTTTATCTAGTTCTACAAAAAATGTGCAGTATCATAAGTAGATTTAAATATCTAACCTTTATCAATTTCTTTACTCATTATTACAAGGAAAAAATAAGTCATTGTACACTTTTAGTATACATTTTTTGTACACATTCTAATTTGACACATGTTAATAAATGTAGATAAAAATGAATTTTATGTATACATGGTTGAACACAATTGCTCCAGAGAAGTTTATGACTAATATCAATTTCGTAACTGCATAAATTTCTCTCATATAATTCCTTAAAGAGATAATTGGGTGTATGTACACTTTTTAATACATACATTTAAGTTAATGTTATATATTTGAAAAAATAAAGTGCTTAGCCTTTTTAAATTTCTTTAGAAACTAATCAACTATACACATTCAAACAATAGCACCCAAATTTATGGAAATTGATGCTATCTGAATACTTTTTTGTTATAAAGTATGATTGAATCTTGTATTTAACTCTATCACATTTTTTATATTAATCGCTAAAAGTGCTATATATACTATTAAAAATAATATGATTTATTAACTCCATGCAGCCTATTTTTTATGCTATGTAGTCATGTATCTCCATTCACATGTATCTTTAAAGCAATTTTAAAATAGAATATGTTATTTGGATTTGAATTGTTGATGGATTTGAAGACTATTATATGTCTTAGTATTTGTGATTTGTATTTGTGAATAATTTTATTTGAAAGTATTTCATTATAATGATGGATTTGGTGGCTATTATTTGTGTTAATATTTGAGAATTGTATTTGTGAGTAAATTTATTTGAAAATACTCCATTATAATGTGATTATTTTTCATCCCTGCTTTAAACAATGAGTCAAATTCCGCTCCTAGCTCACCTTTTTTTCTATTTAAAGTAAATGGATTCTTCCTGAAGGCTGAAACGTGGGAAATCCCAGAAGAAGAGGGTTGAGGTCACGGCCAAAACCACGCTTTGACCACCTCATTTCTCCTTCCCCGCGGAAAAGCATTCGAAATCAGAAAAGCAACAGCACTCTTCAAATTCAGTTACCTTCTCCAATCTGGTTTTGGTATTCTTCATCTTCTGATCTTCATTCATGTTATCGTCAATCATTAAACAGCAGTAATACGCATACTCTTGAAAACACTACTGGTGGGAAATGTGTCATTTTACTAGAACTATTTCTAGAATCCTTGGATTTAGTTTAGATTCCGAATTCTCTGCGTTTGTCATGTTGTCTATGTGAGCTCGCATTCCAGTGAAGTCATGCACATGCGTAAATGGGTTCTGGAGTTTTACTTGTTTCCGTATGGCTTTTTAGTAGTACTGGGTTCTCTAGGGTTTCTGCTAACTTTTCTTCACTTATGGGACTTCCTAGGCACTGGAGTTGACATTTGCGGAATGCCATTGTATAGAAGAAAGCCAATTCCTTTGGCGGCTAAGCCCCCTGATTTAAAGCCAGATGAGTTAGTCTTCCAAGTTAGATCCACAAAAGAGATATTCAGGGATTATGGGTAAGCCAGGAAAGCTTGCAACTCATTTATCACTAAAACAGTTTTTTCTATAATGGTTTGTTGATGAAAAGTTAATGATTCATTAGTTAATATTATATCAAATGCAGTGATTATGTAAAGCGAATAAATCTTTATAAACAGAGGATCTGGACATGCAAATTAACTGGGAAAAGAAACCTGACATATGATGAGGCATTGGTTTCAGAAAAGGATGCTAGAGAAGAGGCCCAACGGTTCCCGAAAGAACTGATGGCTCCAGTACTTCGTGATGTTCAATTTAGTAATTCTGAACTTCTTAGACTTCAATTAGATTATCTTTGTTGTATCAGTGATGCATTGAATTTTTTTAATGCTATCTGTATTCTGTACAATGTCCTCTACTTATTAGAAAGTCAAAATCATTTCATCTATAAAGCACAGGACCAAACCTTGGGTTGTGTATCCATGTTTTCTCTGTGGTGCAAAGGAAAAGTCTTAGTCTTGTTATGTTGCTACATTTTTCAAAGCTGTTAATCGAGGCTCTTGATATAATGATATCTGGCATTCTGGCTTTTCTTGTACTTGTTAGAGTCTTGGCTCAACCATTACGTAAACTGGATTCCAAATGTGTTAGGATGTTTTTACTTGGACCGGAATTTTCTGGTCTGGTCTGAACTGGTCTAGTCTGGTAAATGTCCGATCTCTGTGTATTTTATAACGGTCCAATTCTAGTCTAGTCTGGTATGATCTAGTCC